AAAACGTTTCATCTTATAAAGTATTTGGTATTAAGTTATAATAAGGAATATTTAATTATATTTTTATTTGTTATCATATATTAAAATATAGTTTTTATTACAGGTATCATTTAAAAATTGGTTAGATGTTTTTATAATGAAAGGTAATTTCTGGATAATTTTTTAGGATATATTATAAATTTAATAAGCAAGGTACAAGGTGTATGCAGTGTCAATTTGCTTCCAATTCTTTGTTTCTTGCATGCTGCTACTTCCAAGAACAGAGACACGTGTCTCATTTATACCCAAAACTGGTGATCATTCATCACCATCGCACCCTTATTTCATGCCACACACCCGCCTTTACGATGCAAATCAAAATGTAACATTTCAAGTTCAGTCTAATGAGTCGATCTTTGTTAAAACTTACTTTTGATGTCTAAAATTGCTAATTCGTTAAGCCTTTTTTGATTTATGGTAGTCCATAAATATAACTTCAATAACTTTAACTTTAAAAAACTTCTTTTGAATAATGCTATTGTGAGTTAACAAAATCTTGTACGCAAGTAACATGTAACCTTTCTTACAAACTCCATAACTTGAATAGACGTCCAAGGCTTTTCTTAGCATCGTATGCTTCATATGGTATCATGCCCTACAAAATTTGTAACTCCTTATAAAGATATTTTCCAGCAATATCAACATCATCACCATGTGTCAAAGCAATCTCAAGAATCAAACAACATTTTTCTAATTCACCATCTTTCAATTTAATCAACTTTGATACATCAAACAAAAACTCAAATATTAGACTCAAAACGTTTCATCTGTTCAAATTTATATTACTATAAAAAGGAATATCACCGACAGCAAAAATTCACTGATAAGTTATTGGCGGATCACTAATGGATACAATTAAAAAACCTTAAAAAAATAATCCATCGGTGATTGTATCCGTTGGTAATCCATCAGTGATATCTGTCGGTAACGTCTTTTCCCACATTAGTTATATATCTATCTCTCTCTTTCTCTCTCTTTATATATATATAAAGAGAGAGAGAGAGAGGGGGAGGGGGTTATTCTATTTGTAATATTCTATTTGTCTACAATCTTTTGTAATTATCATATTCAGGATAAAAAGATCCTCACATACCATACCACCCCCACCTCACTCTTTGTTACAGAAGTAATCCCTGATCCTAATGCATATGGAGTTCCTCCTCATCCTCCTTTTGGCTGCTTCCTCCACTCTTCTTCTTGCTGCTCACACCATTGTCCAAACCTTACCAGGCTATCCTGGACCTCTCCCTTTCAAACTAGAAACTGGGTATAATATATACATATATATACTATATCTACATACTTCTCTCTCTACAGTTATATATATATATATATATATATATATGTAATTACTTGTTAGGGGTTGTGTTATACGATTACTTGTTAAGTCGACTTGTACCCAATACCTTGGACATGCATACAAAAACATTCAGTATTTCGATCAACTAATTCGTTGAACTTCGACACAGAAACTGAATTTTGCCGCTATACAAGCTACCACACACAAAATCTTTAGTAAAAAGTATATTAATATATACCAGTATAAATTATTTATTCCAAACACTTAAAAATATTTATTATCAATGTAATACCAAAAAAAAAATAAG